AAGGGGTGTGCTACCCCAACTGTCTGCATCCTGGAGACGGTGGGCTGCAGGCACTGCTGTCACTCCTGGTGATGTGTCCCATCCCCCACGCTCTCTGCCATGCTTTCTGCCTCAAGAAGAGCTTCAGGAGCAGCCCCTGGCTGGTAATTTGACTGAAATCCCTCAGCTACTCCACAGGTGAGAGGCAGAGCAAGGTCTGAGGCTTGTGTGTGAGAAACACAGTTTCTGACCCTTTTCTGTGGGGTTGTGTGTTCACGGTGCAGTTTCTCCACTGAACGCTGGAAGCACTAATTGTGGCCCATAAAGAAGGCTGCCTCCATTGCAGAAAAATTCTGGAAATGCACCAGCCCTTGAAGTGGAACAAGTCGGAAAAGTAATAACCATACAAGCCAGCAAATCATTGTTGCAGAAAAAGGTATAATATAGGAGAGAAGACATGAAATATGACTTTGAGAAATGTATGCTATTTCTACAAAATGAGTAAGAGGCTGTACTTAAGTGTTTACAGGTTGGGCATGTGGATATTTTAACAAAACAAAATGAAAACCCAATAAAATGCCCATGTTATGTTTCCACACAAAAATATCTACTAAGGGAGATAGACCGGAAGGGTGTATTGTCAGAACTGACCTATTTTTATGGTGAGTGTAAGCTAATAAGAGATTTTTATAACGGGCATAAAAACTTAAAATACCTTTGTCATTCAGATCAAAGAAATGTGGCTGTGGTCTTCCTCCACAGTACCCTGCCCCGTGTAAAATTATCATGACAAGATAGATGTACTTCTAGATCCTCAACTTATTGTCTCTGAGGGTGGAAAAAGCACGCAACATGGAAAGACAGAACACAACCTTCATAACGACCAAGGGGGTTGTACTCTACCCAGTGTCTTGGGTTCTAAGAGATTTAATTCAGGCAGGCATTCTAGGAGGTGGAAATAGGAAACAAACTTGAATAGATTATGGAGATTTGTCAGAAACAGGAAGAATCGCCATTATTAGCAGTTGGATTCTGGGCAGCGGGGGGGG